TGAAGGTCATAAGCTGCCACTTCAAGTGGCGGCTTTTCTTAACCACGGTTAATCCGGCAATATTTTGGGAATTATTTTTAACTCAGCAGTATTCTGGGGAATTATTTATTTAATTAACATTATTCCCGTGGATGAAAACATGACCTAGTAACTTTTAGTGACTAAACATATGTTCAATTTGTTTACCATAAGGACCATGAAAATATATTTATAGTAAATTTAGTCACTTTTGTATCCATAAGTTTTATTTCATAATATTTTTAGAAAGCATATATGGAGTATTATTTATTTATATGCATATTAAACAAAATATTAAGATAACTATCTTCTTTGGATTTGAATTGTTGGTGGTTTTGGAGACTAATATTTGTATTATTATTTGCAGTTTGTGTTTTTAATTAATTTTATTTAAAATTAGGTTTTAAAATATAAAAAGGCAATGATCTAATCTGACAAGTATCATAATGATTCAGTAAAGTGATATGTGCTTGTATTTGGGATGTCATCGGTTCAAATTAAAGATTAAAGGAATATGCATAATTAAAGATGGGTATTATACATAATTAATAAAGATGGAATGTTTGCGTAAATTATATCCTACACCCGGATGTACATGTACATCCGGTTTTTTGTAATTAGTGGGATGTTTGAGAATAATTAATAGGTTAAGATGCTGAGCTGTTCTTTTTTTCCGCGACAACTGCACTCACGCACGTTCATCCGCTGCACTCACGTTTCATTCTTGTTTCTTTTCTTTCTTTTCGTTTCATTCTTCTTTTTTTGCTTCGTAATTCTTTCTTTGCTTCGTAATTCGTATGTTCTCCTTTTCTTTTCTTTTCTTTTGTTTATTCTTTTTTTTCGCTTTCTTTGTTTGTTCTTCTTTTTTTAGCAACCTTCTAGTTTAATGTTATATTCAATTATTATAAAAATGTATAATATAAAATATTGTTAAATGTTTTAGTTTGTTTTTAAGATTCATGTAGAAGTTGATTATAGATATAGAGCACAGATCATGATACTTAGTTGCATGTTTTCAATACTCAATAGAGAAGGTTTGATGTTGAATAAAAATGTCTTGAAGTTCAAACTTAAGAAATTATGATTTTATTTTGTAAGTTACATCTGTTCAATTTGCACTCATATTATGCCCATTTTTATAATGTCAACCAAATAAGTCTGATGCTCATCGAAGGTGTTTTAATGCTCATTAAAAGTTCATTAATGCTCATTTAAAAGAAACTGTGATTTTCATCTCAATAGATGAGGTTTGATGCTCAATGAATATGTCATTATGTCAAACTAACAAACTTTGTGATTTTCATATCAACGAACATTTTGTAAGTTGCGTATGCTCACCTAGTACTGATCTTATGCTCATTTTCTAAATGTCATATCAATATATTTGCTTTAATGTACTATTTTACATGAGATTCATATATTGAAATTCATAGGAGTTGATTAGAAATATAATTTAATAAGTTTTTATAAAAGAAAAAACAATAAAAAGAAAGTGAATTAGAAGTTATGAAGCAGAGATCACAATTCTGAATTTGAGAAGCTATAAAAAGAATATGATTAATTTTGTAATTCAAGAATGACAAATTATAAATTATTTTTGAAACTAGAACATATTATATTTCTCTTTGTTACACAAATAAATATTTGAGCATATTAGAAAATTTAAATGAGCTTTTGATTTTTTCAATGCTCATTTTATAACATATGTATACTCATTCAAGACTAGCGTTATGCTCATTTTAAAATGTCATTTCAATACTTATGAAACTAATGCTCAACAGAATAGTTATCATGCTCATTAAAAGTACATTAATGCTCATTTAACAGAAACTATTATTTTCATCTCAATAGAGAATGTTTGATGCTGAATGAAAACATCGTGATGTTCAACTAACAAACTGACTAACAAATTCATTAATTTTCAGTTTGTAAGTTACATATGCACATTTGGTACTAGTATTATGCTCATTTTAAAACTTCAAAAGTATCATATTATATAAGATTTATGTAGAATTTGATTATAGATAATAGAGTACAGTCCATGATACTCAATTGCATATTTATAATAGAAGAGGTTTATTGCTCAATGAGAATACCTTGATGCTCAACTAAAAAAAAAACTATGATTTTCATATCAATGTTCATTTTTTAAGTTACGTATGCTCAATTGATACTCATTTAGGCTCATTTTCAAAATGTCATATCAATGCATGTTTCAAACAACTCTCCATTTGGATGAACAAGATTAATCATGGCCGGAGCAAAAATTCATCTTCTTTCTCTTCTCTTACTCTGTTCCACAATCAATGCATCTTACCCAAAACAAGAAAATGATCTAACAAATTCATTAATACTCATGTTGTAAGTTACATGATTTAGCAATGCACATTTCATTTGTATAGGTCTGATGCTCATTAATAATTCATGAATGCTCATATAATAGAAATCATGATTTTCATCAATCTCAATAGAGAAGTTTTGAAGCTGAATGAAAATGTTGTGATTTTCAACCAACAAAGCAACTAACAAATTCATTAATACTCATGTTGTAAGTTACATATGCTCATCTGATACTGATCTTATGCTCATTTTCTAAATGTCATATCAATGCATTTTTATAAGTATTATTTTATGATAGACTCCTATACTCAACATAATAGGTTTGATGCTCATTAAAAGTTTATTATTACTCATTCACAAGAAACTATGATTTTCATCTCAATAGCAGATGTTTGATGCTCAATTAAAATGTCGACTCCTAATACTCAACAGAATAGGTTGGGTGCTCATTAAAAGTTTATAATTACTCATTCTCCAGAAGTTGTGATTTTCATCTCAATAGTGGAGGTTTGATGCTCAATTAAAATGTCATGATGTTCAACTAACAATCATTACGATTTTCATATCAATGTGCACTTTGTAAGTTATGTATCCTCATTTGATAATGATGTTATGCTCATTTTTAAAATGTCATATCAATGCATATTTCAAAAGTATCATATTACATTAGACTCGCATATTGAAATTAATAGGAGTGAATTTTAGATATAAATCAATAAGTTTTTATAGCAGAAAAAAAAAGTATTGGAAGATATGAAGCAAAGATCGTGATACTCATTATTAACCTCATAATACTTAATACAATATGTGAGATGCTCAACAAAACTACATTATTGCTCATTTAGCGCGAGCCATGATTTTTCGCTTAAATTACAAAACTGCCACCGAAAAAAATAGGCGTTTTAATTGAATGGACTGTCTTTCTTAATTGGGCCTGTTTTGTGAGCCTTCCATTGGATTCATTTAATTCTATTCAATCTGGGTTATCAAAATTGGGCTGAAGTTTAAAAAAATTAAAAAAAAAACAGGATGTACGGTTCTCACCCGTACACCCGGGTGTACCATAAACGGCAAAGATTAACGGAGAATAACAAAAGGACTTGATTAAAATGAATTATATAGAATAAGGACTAAAATAATAGATTTATTAGTTGAAGGACCAAACGATATGATGATGATAGTTTAAGAACCATTTATGCATTTTCTCTCAAATTAAACCCTTTTAGCAGGTCACATTTAGGTTTACCGGTCATTTTACATATACGTGGCAATCCATGTGTCTTTATTTACCCTTTTCTTTTTCTTTTTCTTTTTCTTTCTTTTCCTTCTCTATCCCTTCTTCTTTGTCCCTGATTTCTTCTTTCACCCATCCTCCTCACAGCAACCTAACCTTTTTTTGTCTTCCACCCCACTCATATCATTAAGAAAAAGATAGGCCACCATACATACGAATTCCAACAAGAACACATTTCATTAGGGAGTGTTTGTAACTGCTTCTGCTTAAAAAAAGCACTTTTGGAGATGTAAGGAAAAAGTGATTAGTAGGAAAAGTTGATAGTGTTTGAGAAAAAAGTGATTTTGAAAAGTAAAAGTTGATAGTGTTTGGTAAAATAAGTGCTTTTTGTGTAATAAAAAGGCGAAAAACACTTTTCACACGCAAGCCGAGAAAAAGTAAAAATTGGTAGTGTTTGGTAAATAAGTGCTTTTTTAAGCCAAAAGCTGAGAAGTGCTTTTTTTAAGTGATTGCAAACACTCCCTTAACCGTGTTTAATCAAAGTAAAAAATGATGGAGTTTTTTATATGGCTCAAATTGAAACCTAAAAATTGAAGCTCGGACTCTAAAATGAAAGCTAACTCACCACCCTCTGAAATTTGATAACCCATTAATATGTATTCATCCCATATCGAAATTCAAGTCACGCTTGGAAATGGGGGAAATTAATCATCTCCGCTCTCTAAGACAAACCCAAACTTAAAAATGGTGTAAAGGAAAACAGAAAACAGGGATTCATATAGAGAGGAAAGAAGTTAAATATAAAGAGGAACCAAACTTTTTAGAAATATTAGAAAATGTGAGACAAAGGTCAAAGGTTGTAAGGTTTCTAACTAGACACAAAACGAAGATATCCAGATAGGGGAGTTGGGAAAGAAAAACGGGAATCAAAAGGTGGGAGATGGTATTCCGGTGAAGAGATATGTGTTAGCTCATCGGACGGAGGAGAGTTTGGTGATGAGCACCTAATGGTGCGTCTCTCTCTCTTGCTGCCTAGTGGCTACTGGTGATTACCACTAAGTTGGAGAGAAGGTGATAGCTGGTTGGTGGCTGATGTGCTGCGGGAGAAAAAAGGTGAAAAGACGGAATGAAAAAAAAAAAAGAGAGAAAAGAAGAAGGTAAACAGTGAATATAAACACATTGATTGCCATATGAGGACGGTAACTGGTTAACCGGATAGCAACCGGCTAAATAATACATTTGAACGTTTTATTATAGTTTGAGGGTTTAATTGGGCGTTTGTTAAGTTCGGGGGCTTAATTGACTATTTTGATATACTATGGGGGCGTATTTGACAGTTTTCCCTTAAACCATCATTAATTCTTCGCCCCATATATCATTAGAAACAATCATCAGTCATGCAACGCACTGCAACGAAGATCAGTGAATTAAAATGGATGACAAAAGTTAGGTTCATGTGACACGAATTTAAAAAGGAATCGAGTTTGTTTCATTTACAGCCACACACAGTCACGCAGACACCAATCTCTGCAATTTTAAATATGTCCAACAACTCAATCACGTATATATATACATTGAATTTGAAAGCAACCAGTTAAATATGCATGAAGAAATCCCAGGAAAAAAGAAGGGTCAAGTGCATCTGGAAACGCACATGGCATCATACATTCATACCCTCGTCCCTCTTCAAAAGCAAAGATCCTAAATTAGAATCAATGGAGAAGAAATCGAATCAATATACCAGGTCTCCTTCAGGTAGTTCCCAGTTATCTTCTTCCTCTTCCTTAACCCTGGCCCTCTCATTTTTGTTCGTAAAGTCCTCTCGCTTATCATCGAAGAAACTCCTCCGCCTGCACATCAAATATCAAATATTACAATGAAAGGCATTTCTCCACCCATCTCTCATTTCATAGGAAAAAATCAAACATTTTGAACAAATAACAAGCACACTACCATTTCAGCATCTCATGAACTGATTTTGGACATAATATAGGCATTATAGTTTAGACACTATTTCAATGTTCACCTTAATTCGAAGCCAGGGGAAAAAACACAATGAGGGTTATGCACTGTGAAGTGCATAAGGTACAAAATAGAGATCTTCGTTTCTAAGGTACAAAATACGATGGCTAGTTTCGCTAAACATTAAGCTCCAGTGCAGAACCCGAACTCCACCATATTTTGTATGATGAAGTAAATCACTGCCTAGACTTGTCCTGATCAGTTATCTCTAAATAATGGCAAACTAACTTTGGCAAGTGAAGTGGTATTCAACAGTTTCACGAATTTACAGCCCTCGCCTCCTCCATAGGATTATGACATTATTATTAGAATAACTAACCTATATATGACTACAACATATGGTGTTTCCTTAAATATGACCCATCATAATATTTCTTGTTTATAACCTTCTCAAAATAATGATCATCTAAATTTAATGAACGGTGCTTCTTATCCAGGGAATAAAATATTTGAAGAAAATGTTTTAGAGTTATTTTGGGCAATTATTTCTTATTATTACATCCAGAGAAATTGAGGAAATTTCCATACGAGAAAGTTCCCTTTTGGATATTCGTAATCAATTTAAAGCATATGCCGGCCTACGGTTCCCTTCCATGAAAAAGGGGAGCTCCTTAGACAAATACCCCATGTCATTGCATTGGGGCAGTTTCAAATTCAGAACAAATAGTTAGAGTTAAGTATTGTCTTGGGTAGGGAGAGAACCACACATCAGATTTTGATAGATCCTTTCCTGACACCATGGGCAGAGGAAGGAAGTTGTGGTCATCTACTAAGTTGTAAAGTAGAATGGAACTGTTCCTAAAAAGTTCCCACACCTACATCTCACATATGCTAATCTTACTACCTCCGTCCCATATTGGTTGTCATGTTTTAGACTTTTAGTTTAGCGCGATTATTAATAAAGTGGTTGAAAAGTAAAAGTTGTGGTTGAGATTTGAGTAGAATAAAGTGAAATGAAGGACCGCATATTTCTTGCCAAAAAGGAAAACATGATATTTATTTTGGGACAACCCAAAAAAGAAAGTAGGACAACCAAAATGGAACAGAGGGAGTACTAGTTAATAACTTATAAATTACTTAGGCGGCGAGCTCCTAGACGATCTGATCTCCTAGACTTTTCCTCTTCCACCGGCAAGAGTCTTCGACGATAGTGACGTTTCTGGACAGTGAGGTAACAAATCACATGTTTTCTATGCTTCCGTTCTTTTTTTTTCTATCTTCGCTAGTTATGGTTTTTATCTTTTACCTTTCTTATGTTTTTATTTTATTTTTATCTTATATTTATTTTTATCTTATTCATTTTATCTTACCTTAACTTTTTATTTTTCTTATCTCTCTTCTTTTTTGGCTCCGATATCATGGATCGATTGATGTTAGCCGAACCCAAAATCTTTTGGGAATAAGCTTGGATGTTGTTGTTCTAGCTTCACTGAGACTGGGAAACTAAGGATTTTTAATACCAAAGAGTACTCATTGGGTAGTGAATGTAGTAAGATTATCTGAAACACTATAAAAGTATGGAGTATAAAATACTGAACCATCTACCCTAAAATACCTTTGTTCCAAAAAAGAAGTTATGTTTGCCACTTGCCAGTGAGCAATTTTTTAACCTTGGTAAGGTGCGGTGCAATCATACCATTATCTAATCAAACGTGACTATTTGGTGGAAAATAAGTGTTCAAAACCCGAATTTTCCTTGGTATAGGGGAAGAATTGCGTAATTATTTGAATAACTAAGGGAGGCCTTCTGCCACTACCTGATGGTGCACGTTTTTGGACTTCTAGTAAAACCTTTTTGGATGCAGTATCCATCATAATACTGATCACAGACCAAACAACGCAAGCCATCTGTGGCGACCATGACCTAAAACACATTGTTAGTTGAAATTCACAACCTTTTGTTACAAACTCACGACTAACCAACTAGGAGTTCGGTAGCTCAAAAGGGCTCTCTGCCTCTCTCCAACATACTTGTTACAATATGATATCATGTGTTTGTATGGAACATAAAAGAGCCTAAATGATTCATTAATCAGCTAATAAATAAAAAAAACATCAACTGCAAAATTAATAAAAACATCAGGCAAAATGTTCATTTTCAATGGTCTCATTGCACAAGCCTTACTAGGCCAATTGTGCATGCAAATCAAACATGTTAGATTGTCCAAGTAACTTGTATTTGAACTTACTCTGAGTCACCCAGACCCCCAATTTTCCACTTCTCTCTTCACCACTGTTGGATCATAAATTGTATACAATCGCATAACAAAATAGCATCCCGTTCAGTAGTCAGAAACAGTTAAATTACTAATCGATTATGCACAACATAATTGAAGCTCTGATAATCCTTAAAAAAAATCCCAATTTCTGGATAACATTGATCACGTTGTGTCTGAAAATTGAAGATTGCACTATACCAGGAAATAGTAACATGTTTATCAACCAAAATTTGAATCGCATAACAAAATAGCATCCCGTTCAGTAGTCAGAAACAGTTAAATTACTAATCGATTATGCACAACATAATTGAAGCTCTGATAATCCTTTAAAAAAATCCCAATTTCCGGATAACATTGATCATGTTGTGTCTGAAAATTGAAGATTGCACTATACCATGAAATAGTAACATGTTTATCAACCAAAAGTGAAGTGAGGGGAGGGGAATTGGGTGCAGTACCTTCGACTGTTGCGCTTGGCAGCTTCGCGTGACTTGCGCTTCTTCTCCTCCTGCTTGTTCTCGAAGAACCTCCTGCGCCTGCACTCATAAATCAGACCAGTTTTCATCACTTCTCTGCGGAAGCGGTTGATCAGCCTCTCCTCTGGTTCGTTCTCCTCCACAATCACTTCCGCATTGTAAGCCGATGAGTAAGGTGTGTTGGGGTGCGTCAGGGAGGGGAAGACCGCGGGCGCGAGGTCGAAATTGTCAGACGGAGACGAGTGCAGCGGTGACGTACACCGTTGATGAACGGAGGTTTTCACTGGTTGGGCCCATCCGTCCTTGGCTGTATTGTATACAGGAGAGGAGTGGTAGGGGGAGAGAGATGCTCTGAGTGATGGCGGGTGGGAGGGGGAGAAGGACAGTAGACTGAAGATGGATGAGACCGCCATGGGTGACAACGAAAAGGATCTGTGCGGATAATGAGTCTTCAGCAAATCAGTACAGCACAAGTTATTAATTAAAATAAGGACAAAGCTTCTGCAAAAAAAAAAAAAATAAGGAAAAAATAATGGCACCCGTGGGTTGCACCACATCTAACATCCCTGAGGGCCCTCAAGACCGACCGGACGACCGGACGGTACGATGTAAGGATATAAATTGGACTATAATCACAATTTGATAGATAGAGAGTGAGGCTCTGTCCCCGGTACTTGCATAGGCCCTATGCATTTTTCAGCATAGTAACCCCTCATCGCAGTTGCTGGGATTCGAACCTCAGACCTAACCATTGTGTCACTCCCTCGCTACTAGTTGAGCTACGCTCACCGGTATGTCAAACTAAAAAATCATTCATTGCATCGTTCAATTATTTCTTTTTTCTACACTCACATAATATGAGATTTCAAATATTATAGGGAGTAATAGATTTAGAAGAATATAAAAAAAATCATTTATGAAAGGGAAATTGCCCTAAATAGGAATAAAAGAGGTTTGTAATTCCAAAATATGACTATTACGGAGTATGTTTTTCTTTCCGAAATAGGAGTTGTTACTACCATGTATGAAACATACTGTCATGATCGAAAAATATTGTCATTAATTATAATAAATATTGTCGTGTTAAATGCACTTTACTATAATTGTTTGACAGTCACGCCTACAAGATGGCAGTAAATAGTGTCATGTTAGTCCTATTTCGGGAATAAAAACATAGTAGTCATATTTTGAAATTCCAAAATCCATTACTCCTATTTTGGGAAATCTCCCTATATGAAATTGATACATCTTAAATAAATTTTAGGAAAAATTGATAAGAATAATCCCACCTTTCACTGGTTTTCTCATAATAATCCCACCTTTGCACCTCATCTTATTTCATTGGACCCTGACCTATTGATGACCTACATTGGTGGGATTATTTATATAAGATTTTCAAAAAAGGGGTCCAATGAAAGAAGATGAGGTGCAAATGTGGGATTATTCTGGGATTATGTAAATGTGGGATTATTATGAGAAGACCAGTGAAAGGTGGGATTATTCTTATCAATTTTTCCTAAATTTTAATAACATCTCACTTTATTCAATTTAAATGGTTTTTAATGTATTTTTTCAGTTACATAGAAATAATATGACAAAGGTCATCTAATTGGATTCAGAGGGGTTGTCCTCATTTAGAATTTTAATGAATTGTTAAAACTTTGAGCATTTCAAGGTCCTCAATGTAGAATTCAATGGAATCCGTCAAAATCCATTATAAGGATTTCAATTTATAAAAATTTCTGTGGATTTGAAAACTTGAGTATAAAGGAAAGAATCCAACTCAAATGTCTCCTTTTCTTCATATTTTAATAAAGTTTAGTCATCCAATTATTTCCGTTTTTCATATTCATCTCTCCATTAACTGTCGTCGAGAAGGAACCCTACCTTCAACTGATTCGAATACCTAAAAAGCCCTTATCATTGTCTTTCTATTCACGCTCCCTAGCAACAATGCACGGTCGAGACAATCCATCAAGGATTCTCTGTCTAAACCATCATCTCTGAAATCGTCGCTCCCAGCTTCATTCACAGATCTGAAGGGTTTTAAATTGCATAGAATTTCGTTAAAATCTCATGGGTTCTATATAATTCCATACAATTTCATAAAATCTCAATCCTTTAAAAATCTTTTAGAATCCTTTAGTCTCAGTAGTTTTGACTAAACCATATTTGACAACAAAATCACTATAAGTGCCAACATGGGCTTGTAAAGCAAATGCTAGGCTTCATGCACCCAAAACTATAATACGGAAGTGTCATATAAACATCAAAACATTTGACAAACATAAATATCCCATTCAGAAAGGACACACCACACTAATTGCAGTCCTGCAATATCTTAAATGGTGAAAAAGAATGAGATGCCCCAAATCTAGAATCGTGAAAAAATAAAATCAATGGTTAAATAACTGCAGTGTAGAACACCAAAATTTCTAAGGTTCAACCTCATTTGAAATGCAAGTCAAAATCAAATTAAAATTTAAACATGGAATTCAAATAGTAAACCTTAGTGACAGTGACCTAAAGGTAATGAAGGTGGTTTACGTGACCCAGTGACCTGTCAAACCCAATGGCCCCAGTGCCCCATTGAATCATCATCACTAGTGAGGTCGTTGATAGCCGTTATATTTACTTGTGTTTAACATAAGTATTTATAAGTATTTGTTGAAGAAAAGAAGAGAAATCGGGCAAATACCTCCAGAATGAGAGCTAGATCATAAAACATTGCGATGAACGACTTTTTGGACCGAGAGAATGGCGTTCTGCCCATAATTTGAGTATAACTTATTCTATAGAACTCGAAATCACTCGATTCGAGTTTCATGTGAATGCTAACTCAATAAGGTACAAATGTTATGAAGACGTCATGACCAAAATATGAAAGGAGAAAGACTCAATCAACCAACAAAGTCAGATGTTGCTGGTGGGATTTCAGGATGCATACCTCTCAGCGTTTTGCCCATATCTTTTGATTGGATGAATGAAATCACGTCATTCAAGTTTTGGTGGATAGAAGACTTCATTATCTACATCTTTGGTGAAGGAATCATGTCCAAATTCGTAGCGGAACATCCCCAAAATCCCAGGACAAAACTGGCACCGAAATTTGCACCAAACCCGCGCCGGTTTGTTAATTTTCGCATGGCACAAACCAGTAGCTTACCCGACGCCGGGTATGTCAAAATTTCCAGTTTTTCCTGCACACAACGAAGAACCAGCGCCGGGTAGGCCTGAAACTGGCGCCGGGTAGGTCCGATTCTGCACAAAACAGTCCAACGTGCAAGAGGATTTTTGATGGGAAAACTTCATCTTCCTCAAGTGTGATCAAATATTGATTCCATACCTTATTTTTGGGCTCGAATAGACTAAAAGATGTCATTCTTTAGCCTATATAAAGCCCTCAATTCATCATTCAAACACATTCCATTCCATAGATTAATTCCTAGCTTTTATATTTTGTTCTTGCTATTTTTCTTCAAGTTCTTGAGGAGGAAACTTCAACCTCCGAAGTCATTGGTGTTTAGGTATTATTTCCTTTGTAATTTCATGTTCCATTACATTTCAATATTGTATTGTGATTAATATGAGCATTAGAGGCTAAATTCTTAGCTAAGGCTAGGGATGAACTTCTATGCCTACTAGGTGTTTGATAAAAGTTCTAAACCAATAAATTGTGATTTATCCTTTACTTAGCTTTTTGATTGTTTATGACTATGGTGCACAACATAGAAGTATGTTAAACTTAGTTTATGCTTGCAATTAACGTTGAGGTCTAAACTATGAACATTAAAGGATAAACATATATATTACCGAGAATAGAAATATATCCGGTATTATATGATACGGGTGTGATGTGTTGATATTTAACGGGGTTTTCGGCAGATGAATGTAAGCCGTAACGGAACTTACACGTAACGAAAACCACGCTCTCGCTGCCTTAACCGGAGTTGAGAATATATTAGCGACATCATATTCATAATTATTGGTAAAGAACTAATATTCAACCCTATTAAAGCATTTAAGTGATTCCTGAAGCCTTAGCCGTTGTTATCATTCATCTTAAATCCGAATTAATCAAGGTTATTTCTTTGAATTAAAAGTGAAAAGCCAAAAATATAAAACACAACTCAAAATCCCTGCACTTTATTCATTTCAATATTTAAAGTTATCTACTCTCGGACTTGAATTAAACAATGTTTCCCTGTGGATTCGACCCGGTATTTTACCGGAATTTATTACTATATCGGCACTTGTACACTTGCAAGTTTAGCCCGGTCAAGTTTTTGGCGCCATTGCCGGGGAAACGGTCTTGTTTAATAAAGTCCAAACAATCAACCAATCAAAATCCTGAATTTATTTTTCACAACTTCACTTGATCTTGGAAGGATTTTTGTTTTTGCTTGTGTAGATATTCCCTTGTGTTTGCATGCAATTGAGACTTGAGAGGTCAAGGTTCTAAAATTCTTGAACCACTTGATCTTGAAATAGAAAAACTTGCAAACACATTCGAAGGGAGCAAAAAGCTACAAAGATGTTGCCAACTTTGAATGAGAGGAAGAGGCCCGTGGTTGCCACCACTCCCTCATGTATTGTCGTAAGTGAGGCGGCTCAGGACTATGAAATGAAAAATAGCTATATCAATGCTATGCCTCAATTTCATGGTCTTTCGGGGGAGAATCCACTTAACTTCATCACTGAGTTCTATGGATTCATCCAAGGAATCCCTAGGCATGATCTCACTGAGGACGATCTCAAACTCAAAAGTTTCCCCTACACTTTGAAAGGGGCGGCAAGGGGATGGTTCTTGGAGCAAGCACCGACAAGTTTTACAACGTGGGAAGGTATCTATAATGCTTTCATTTCCAAGAATTACACACCTACTATGACTCAAGAGCTAAGACAACGAATCTTCAACTTCAAACAACAAGTTGGGGAATTATTCCAAAACGCATGGAGTCATTTTAAATCATTGCTAAGAGAATGCCCACATCATCGCATTCCTCTTGATCTTCAAATTGACACATTCTACAATGGTTTGAACTCTTCATGTCAAGCCATTGTAGATAACCGTGCGGGGGGCTATATTGGCAATAAAACTAAAACGGAAGCATTAAGAATCCTTGAATCTATTGCCTCAAATCCTCAATTACAAGGAGGAGATGTCAAATTGGCCGGTGTGAGCGAGGTGTCTATAGCTCATGAATTAGACAAGCGGTTTGCTGATTTTCAACAAGCCATGCACAAAGATCTTCAAGTTTCTATTCACACAGTTCTACAAGCCGTAATTGGAGGGGCTAGTCAAGTGGCAAATGTGGAAAGCATAGCGCAACCGGGAGGTAATTCACCTCAAACTCTTGAAGAAGTGAATTATATGAACTCATATGGGAATAGGGGGAATCAAGGAGACAACAACTATAACAATCAACAAAGGTTTAACCAAGGTAATTCTTGGAGACCACAAGAAGGTCCTTCTAACCCCCCATCCAATTTTGCGCAAGG